AATTGGTCATTTTGATCAACTTTTAGGAATTTATCCTAAGGAAAAATTTAGGCATTCAGACAAAGATTTATATGCAAGGATGTGTATCATATCTTTATTGGTAGAAGCAAAACCATGGAGACAACACCAACATCTAATAGGAGAATAGCAATAGGAGAATAAATGAATTATAGTACTTTTGAATGATGTACTACCTGAGGTACTATATGAGGTATTTATGAGGGAATTTTTTTTGAGAGATTCTGTTATAGGGCACATGCACTCACCAGAGAGACAGAATGAGATGGAGCGAGAGAAAGTGAGAAATCCCCTCTCATGGAGGATGACCATGATGCAATCCCTTCTCCTCCATTCTCCTCTTGAGATTTTGGACATGCACTCACATGCCAGGTCTGAAACTTGAATCTGCGGTTGGCCATGTGGGAATATAGCACCGGAATCACTACATCACCTGCTGGCCACTATGGGGGCATTTTTTAAAAGTATGTGGGATTGGGGCCAGCAGATGGCGTAGAGGTTACATCACTTGACTCCCATGTGGCTGACCATAGATGATACCAGACCCGGTGGCTTGAAAATCACACTGGGTACATGTGTGTGTGCCCAAGATCCCAGGAGGAGAATGGAGGAGAAGGGATCTGGGCATGGTCATTCCCTTGGAGGGTGATTTATTACTTTCTTTCTCACTGTCACTCTCTGTCTCTGTCTCTCTCTGGAAACACACATGCCCTATGGCAAACACCTAACCAAAAAAAAGGAAAGAAAAAACAATGAAATTAGATGTGAGTTTATTTTTTGGTGCAAAAATTTTTGGAATCCATGAATAGTTTTTTCATAATATGCATATTCCATGAACTTTTTAAAGACGCCTCCCATGGTCATTAAAAATGATTTTGTTTTTGAAGACAGTATAATGACATGGAAAAATATTAATATGTGAAAAAAGGTATAAGATTGTATAGAGAATAAATTTTTGAAAAACAAATGTATTTTGTTCATACTGAAGCAGTTAAGAGAAACGTCAATAACAATATTGACCAATAAAAATATTAACAATGTCTATATCTTCATGGTAAGATCATGAGTTATTTTTCCTTTATATTATTTTACACACATTCTTTTATTGGCACCATAGGGCAAGTGCGCTTACCAGAAAGACACAGATGGAAAGTGATAGGGAAGGAAAGTGAGAAATCACTTCCCAAGGAGGCTGGCCATACTGCAATCCCTTCTCTTTTCTCCTCTCAGGATTCTGGGCACTCATGCATACATGCCTGGTGTGATTTTTTTTTTTTTTTTGAGCCACCAGGTCTGGGATTCGAACCTTGGTCGTCCATGTGGGAATCCAGCACTTTAACCACTGTACCACCTGCTGGCCCCATTATTTTACATACTTTTGTAATAAATATGTATTATTCTCATTATCATGCAATTTTTAAGGAAGAGCATGTGTGTGTGTGTGTGTGTGTGTGTGTGTATCTATTATATCTTTAGGCCCAGTCTAGGAGGTGTAGTTCAATGTGTGCTGGGCTGCAGTGCTCGAAGTCACATGACCTGCCATTTTTCTAAAGTTATTTAATTAAATTAATTAATTAATTTTAATTTGACAAGAGAGGAAGAGAGAGAGAGAGAGAGAGAGAGAAAGGAAGGAAGAAAACAAGCCACCTGGTCCAGGACTCGAACCATGGGCAACCATGTGGGAATCCAGTGTCCTTAACCACCACACCACCTGCCAGCCCCAGTTGCCATGGTTTTGGATCCCTGGATAGGCACAGGTCCTCAAGATCTTGAGGAGCTAGAGGGCTGGAGAAGAGGGATCATTTGTGATGAGATACTGCAGAGGTTCTCTCTCTCTCTCTCTCTCTCTGTAAATATATATATATATATATATATAGTAAATATCTTTTTTTTTCT